GGCAGGCTGCAAGGAGGAGGAGGCATTCAAACATCACTTTAAGGATGATGAGTTTTGATATTGACCGAGAAAGGAACTTTAAGCTGAAGGGACAGAGAGAACATTTGCTTTCTCATCTCTTGGCTCTGACAACTAGGTGGTGTTTGGGTTTTTTGTTTTTTGTTTTTTATTTTAAGCAGGACATTTTAATGATCTATGCCTTGAATGTCTCATTTGTAAAGAAAGCTCATGAGGTATCGAAGGAAAACATTAAGGGGTATATGACATAGTACTCTAATAAGATTTTCGGGACAAACAAATCCCAATCAAGGTTTTGTTATTATCAGACCATGCGGCTATGTAATTAGATAATAATACTAAAAGCCGACATTTGAGAAGCAGTTTGTATTTGTGCAAACATTTTCCCATCCATCATTTCATTAGGTGCTCAAATTTGCCGAGATTAAAATTTATAGAGACAGAGTAACGGAGTGTGGTTAAGAACACACTCTCTGAAGCCAGATGCCTCACCTGTACGTGGCCCTGGCTGGTCTCAGTGTCCCTTTCAGTTCTATTGATATAAACAAGAGGGTGGTGCCTTCCCGACTGGCTCCTTGTGAAGACTTGGTCAGCTACCTGATGCCGGCTGCTCTGGACCGCCCCCAGAACCTAGAAAGCCCTCAGTAAAGGTTAGCTTCTATTACTGACACATCAGTCTCCTCATCATCATCTCTGCTTTTAAAAACATGGAGATTACAGAGTTCTAGTCCTGGGTTCTTTTCAACCCACCCCGCTGGCATGACTGTGACCTACATAATGAATTAGGGATGCCACACCCTAGGTCTCTGGCCTTTTCTGTGTTGCAAAGTATGTAGCTGAATTAAGGTTTACTATTTTCTGAGATCGATATTTAGCTAGAGCAGGTGAGAAAACAATTCCAGAAGTCTCTTTAAAACCTGTGCAGAACAAGTGCATATAAATCATGAAAACTCTAGAATTTCTAGCCCAGTTAAGAAGAAGCAGACTATATATTACAGTATATGTGTTAATACTACCTATGAGTCTGAATTTTTATATACAAAATTAGCCTTACAAGCTTTCTACCTGCGGAGGCTGATCTCTGCCTCACTGATGCCCAGAGTCCCTAAGGAGAGGTTCTTTGGGGGCGTACCACAGTCCGAGGCATAGAGATTTCTCCTGCAAACAAATCGGCTTCTCTTTCGGGAAGAATTTTTCTACCTTAAAATATTGGACTGTGTATAGGACTTAATGCTGCTTGGATACTAAACAACACCTGCTCCTGGACTTGAGGATAGAAGGTGGGGATCTGATTCTCATCTTCGTTTTACCAAGTGCATGACCCTGGCTGACCAACCCCTCAGCCTCTCCACACCTGTTTGCATTTCTGAGAATAACTAAGAAGACTCAAGGACGATTGTCTTCACAGATTCCTATGTGATCTCTAGTCAATTCATGTATTTGAAAACACACTGAGAAATTATTGAGATGCTAGTATTATATTCAAGATGCATTGTGTCAGGTATCTTTCTAGGGCCAATGGCAAGTTTTGTGTCTCTCAGTTCTGTAGTTCCCTTGGAATTTCTCCTCTCTGTCCAATTGGACCCTGTGTCTTGATCAGATCAAGGACACATATTATCTTGAACTTTATCTATTTACCAAAGATTTCACCTCCTCTTCCCAGTCCCCCAGGACTGAGTCGTATTCAGCAGACCCCTGGGCTCAGCTATGAGGACTGTCCCACGATGGGGAAGGTACAGAAGGGTCAAAGAAGTCACAGTCAATGCCCTGGGAGTGTGCTTCCCATACCAGAGGGTAGTTGTCACTCTCTGTGACCTAATAAGACATGGTGATCCACTGTTGCTCATAGTTTTGATTTCTTCTGGAACAATCGATTGCACTGAAAGCAACATTCTATTTCCCTAGGTGGAATTTTAGAGCCCTGTCTCGTCCCACCCCCCCCCAACCCTAAGAAATCTTCTCACATCTTCCTTATCCCCCAGCAGACATGCTTCCTATCCTCAAGACTGTGGTCTAATACTACCTGTAGCCTAAACCTCTAGCCAAGACTTGATGAAGGAGAAAGTTCTATGGAAAAGAGAAATCATAATTCAAAGCCCAGAACTATAAATGCTTTCGAAATCCCTGGAAAATTTGTATTTTCTACCTCAACGCACACTAATGTTAATAAAGCTAATCAAAAGTTAGTTCTATGTAAATTTTACTTCCATTATAAAGTAATTAAGGATTATCCTATAATTTTCACCTTTTTCATATTCTCATGTAGCTTTGCTGTCTAAAATTGGAATGAATAAATGCTGCTCATTTGAAACCTAGTGAGCAAAGGAAAATCATTCTAAAAGGCACATAGTGTTTCAGCTATTGTCCTGTTTTGTCCTTGCTAGGTGATATGTCAGCGCCGTAATATTATGATACATTGCTCATTGTTGCAATTACCTTTGTCAGAGCGCATCTAGGTTTCATGCTTACGATGTGTGAACAAAGTAATGAGATGGAGACTCTCGGTTTGTTTTCGTTGAGTATTGATCAAGTATATGACGGATTCTATAAAAGATGAGCAGATCTGATTATTTCATGTTATATATTCCAGGAGCACATAAATCACATTTTTAACTGAAATTCCTTTGCCAAGGGACTTTAAATTGCTCCCTTTAAGACCCTGCATGGAAGGCATTTGTAGGTTTCTGCCGATGATTTTACGAGTCTATTCAGAATTTACACAATTGTTTCACTTGCTATCTACATAGGCAGGAAAGTTCATCAGAGCAAAGTCATGCAATGGTCCTCAAAGGCTAATAACCGGGACACACAAAGTTCTCATGCTTTATAGATTCTGTTTCACTATGTACATGAAAGTAAAGATTGTATTTTGTTTTCTTTCACTTTTACTGAAGTTTCCAAAGGTCTGTGCATTGTTGTGTTTCCACATTTACCTCCCTGGAGATTCACCACGATGAGGGAGGGGGTGTGACCAGGAGAAGCCATTACCTCAGGGTAGAGAGAAGTAACCAAAGGAGGTCTCCTGGGAAGCCACCCATTGTCAAGTAGAATGGTGACCGCTTATCTTAAAGGGCCTTGCCTCTGTCATCATAGCTCACTCTCCTCCACTGAGCTGTGATCTTCAGTAAGGTGGCGACCAAGGGGATTGCCTTTAGCCACAGTTTGTAACTGTCCCCCGGTATCTCCCTCTTCTTCCTCCTCCTTGCATTTTTGTCCCCTCTGCCCCCTTCACCCCGGCTCTTCTTTCTTCCAAGGACTCTTTCCTATCTCAGATCGCCCCTCACCTGGGCCTCTTGACTGTCTGTGTGCCTCGAAGTTTCCACAGCAGCAGTGGGGACAGTATGTTCCTGGCATCCACAATGAAACTCTGACTACACTCCCTGTAGGACATCGTATTTCTGGTGATTAGGCCTATAATACCATCAGTATGGATTAAACGATTTTTTTTGCAGCCTATTGCAAACTTCACCATCTGGTATATACTGTTTGTTTGGGACTCTATTCTCTAAATTACCAAAAAAAAAGGATTACAATTGTACTTTTGTTATGCCCTTCATGATGAAATTGGGACTGGATGGGAACATTTTTATATCCTCGCTTGACTTTTTTTCCAGATTTCAAAATACCCCAGTCTTACCTGTATTAGTGAATCGGCTTATTATTCAATATTCAATGATGAGAAGGCACAGGTGCATTGTTTAGAAGTCTCATCAAAGACTTAGAGGGGAGGTGGAAGAAATTCTTAAATGGCAAACATAGGAACTGATGCTTTTTGACAAATGTGCATTACTTTTCTACAAAAAAAAAAAAGAAAAAGAAAAGGCCTATGGGGTGTCAAATCTGCGGTTTCATTCGAAAGACGAAGCCATGTTATAATTCTGAAAAGAGAGAAGTAAGGAACTTGAACTTTGCCCACATTTATTAGCAACGATACTATTGTGTAAAACAGCCAAAGAGGGAGATTAAGGATGGGATGATGATTATAGCAGAGTCAGTGTGTATATAATTACACTCTCGGAAAAAGGGAGAGCCTTTGTGCTATGGTGAAGATAGCACGAGAAGACCTGTACTGCCAAGTCCTCCCCACCCAGCTCGCTCTGCTCACCCCAACCCCTTCTCAGCCATGCCCAACGGGAAATGGCAAATGTGCTTATACTCTGTATACTCCTTTTAACTCCCAAAGCGAGTCGGGAAAACATTTGATTAAGGAAATTTGCTTAAAAAGAAAGTAGCCAAACTCTCGCAAGGAGCCCGTTGGAATAGAACGGAAGGCAATGAAGCACAGTTTCCTACCCAACGGGAGCAGAAGGCCAGGAGCGGATTGTCATATCCGCCTCACTTGTAATATCAGCCACATTGGCAACACCAATTTGAACACTATCTTCTCATTGTTGGGCAGGCGGCTGTGATGGTTATCCTGTGAGATCAGGGTGAATTCTACATTGTTTGAAGATCTATTAATATTTTAAACACTGTCTACCCTTCAGGCATTGAGGTATTACATCACTGTTTATACAGCACAATTTGCCACTGCTCAGAAGGTTTCGAGTGTTTCAGCATCCTGATAATTAAGTAGGAGAGAGAATTATATTAACACAATTAACAGGAGCCAAAAGGTAGACTTTTAAATCATTTCAAATGTTTCTGATATTATGTAATCCAAAAATAACTCCTTGATTAACTAATTTGTCTCATAAGAAATGTCTCTATGTAGGTCAGGATGAGATCATGAAAAAAAAGAAAAAAGAAAGAAAGAAAGAAAGAAAACCTACTCTTTGGAGAACTTTTAAACCGCCAAAAAAGAAAAATCTCATTTAAGAGCTGGAGTCAAATTATACGGTCATTTTAGTTCTCAGAATTCAAAGCATCGATGGCTGGAATCGTGTGCGTGTGATAATTCTAGGCTACTCTCAATAAATAATACATGTCATTTCTGCTTCACTGAGGCTGTCACTTACTGCTCTAAATGACTTTCAATGCAGGGCCCAGCCTGCTCTCCCAGAGTGCACTTCAGCTCAATTCCAAACCTGAAGGGCCCTTCCAGTATCCTGCTGGCTACCATAGCAACCAGACCCTGGCCCTGGGTGAGACAGCCCCTTCGCAGCAGCTCCCGGCCCGAGGTGCGCAGGCCCGTGGTGCAGGTGCGGGCCACGCCTTCAGCCAGGTACGTGTGGGAACGGGGACCCCTGCTGTATCGGTCCGGTCCATGGGGGAACAGGTGAGGCGCAGAGCTGTGAGCTGACCACGGTGTTCCCTCCTCCCCGTCTCAGGCATGCCCGTGACTTAGGAAAGTACAGAAAGATGCCTTCAGGGCTGTGAGTGAAGGAAATGAATAATAAAATACGATTATCAAGTAACACTGAACTGTAGATTCTATCTTGGGGAATGTCTGTGAAGCACTCAGGCTCTGTTGACTTTGTAGAGGCGCATCTACGTGACTGTGTATATAGTTACTATTTCTGCGTCTATACGGGGTATAAATATGACAGACACTCTTGAGTTTGTGAGTGCACCTGGAACCAATTTTTTCTCCCAAAAGAAAAAAAAAAAGCATGAAATTATTCCTTGGGCGTAATCGTATCAAGGAACATAGTATTAATGCGTAATCAAGTATACAGAACTCTTCCGAAGATAACTGTGATTGGTTTAGGAGTGGCTACACTTTGTCAAGTCTGATTTTGAAATGTGCCTGCAATTGTTTCTTTGACGCCGCAAACTTACTCCTATCGTTTCGCAGCACAAATTGATCAGGTGCAGCTAAGATCAGCTCTTGGCAAAAAGAACTAGCTACTCACCTGAATTTTTTTTTTCAAGCAATATGTACAGGTTATTTACATGTTAATTTGGGGGTGCAGGCTCTAGTTGATCAGCCCACTGGAATTAATGTATTGATTGGAGGGCGATCTTGTTGTAAGCTACCTTAAAACTTATTTTAATCTCTGCATTTTTACTCCTGGGATGAAGAGCTGGCAACCTTAAAAGTACCCCTTTAAGCTGATGAGCCTGATTTCATCCTTTCTGCACTAATGCACAGCACCCCTGCCACGAACCATTCCCCAGCCGCGCCACCCATCATGGGCTCCTCTAACGACCAAATCCATCCACCTCTGGTATCAGGGTATTGTTACTACCCGTCCGTGGATCTTTCCACCTAAACTGAAAGGAAATTGAGGGCAGGGCCATCTTTATCTTTTATCAGCAGCCCCTAGCCATCCCCATACTCCCAAGAAATGTCTGCAGACATACAGGTAGGAGGGAAGGCGAGCCAGAAAGGTACAGTCACTGTGTGATGCTTATTTTTGGTGACACGGACATAGTGAAGCATAATCTGAAAGGTCTCAGTGCATTTCAATTATTAAATTATTGCCCTGACAATATATGAAAAATATGATTACCTCCTCCAGGCAACACTCTTGTCCATCAGTGGCTTTGTGACTTTTACCTTCTTGTGATGTCAAGCTATAAGATATGTGAAATATCAAAGGGATATTTGAACAATCAAGCTATAGGATATGTGAAATATCAAAGAGATATTTGAAAGGGATATGTGAAAAATCAAAGGGAGTGGTAAATAGAACGTTCCACTGAGAAGACTGGCCGGCTGCCCTCTCGTGTATGACCCTTGTTCAGGCAATGCATCCATTTGGATGGAGAGATGGGGTGTGCGGTGCTTGAGAGGGATGGACTCTCAAGTCAGGGTCTGGGTCACACACACAGACACTAGCCCTGGAGCGATTCTGTCTCCCAGATACAGGATCACTGTTCTTTCACTTTTTAAATGTTTATTTTTGAGAGAGAAAGAGAGACAGACAGGACATGAGCAGGGGAGGGGTACAGAGAGAGAGAGAGAGAGAGACAGAATCCAAAGCAGGCTCCAGGCTCTGAGATGCCAGCCCAGAGCCCAACGCAGGGCTCAAACTCACAGACAGCGAGATCATGACTGGATCCGAAGTCGGACCTTTAACCGACTGACCCACCTGGGCGCCCCAGGGTCACTGTTCTTTAAACGTACTGGTCTGTTCCATTTCCCTTAAAGAAAGGTGCAATGATATGTGAGGGAATATCTAACAGTGGTTTTCAATTTATTTGAAAAAATTATATATACAAATACACATGCATTTATCACATATACATAATACTCCGTATTTTTTCATTGCCTAAGAACATTATATGATGTTTGAAATATTGGGTGTTATCAGCATACGAAATATTATTAGATTTTCTTAATCTAATTTTATTTTATTAAAAGATGAGGGCCACCTGCGTGGCTCAGGTCATGATCTCAGTTAAGCCTCCGACTTTGGTTCAGGTCATGATCTCACGGTTAGTGGGTTTGAGCCTGGCGTCGGGCTCTGTGCTGACAGCTCAGAGCCTGGAGCCTGTTTCAGATTCTGTGTCTCCCTCTCTCTCTGACCCTCCCCTGCTCATGCTTGCTCGCTCGCTCTCTCTCTCTCAGAAGTAAATAAAAACATTAAAAAAATTTAAAAACAATAAAAGATGAAATGGAAGCTGTGATTTCATTATCTAGATATAGACTTTTTTTCCTCAAATGCATCCCATCCTTGAAAGGAACTATATTTCTTCTCATCTGTCCTGACCCTCTTTGACCATGAAACAGTGATTGTGTTAGAATACACTCAATTTTGAATTCTTTGGAAGCAAGTGTATTACATACCCTTTTATCCTTATATCTGACTATCTACTTCTAGGTCTAAGAGGCCACATTCAGAAATGAGCGATATTTTACACTCAAATTAGCCTGTGAAAGTTATGAAGATAGCTTTTACCAGCCGCCTAGAACTTCTAAGACACAAAGGTAGTAAAACAATAAAGCTCTATCTTTTTTTAAAAAGTATCTTGAACTCGTATTCCTCATGTTTGGCTTTCTTTTTCATAAATACCTAAGACCTCTGTAATTTGAGTTACAGTTGAAACACTAAATCATTTTTTTTTTGAAAATCTGTATTCCCATAGCTGAGCATCATGGAAAATAGAAATGTCAATACAAAATGAAATATCAGTTAACTTATCAAGTCATCTGTGAGCATCTTCTAAGCACAATTCACACATAGCTATATAATGATGAGTTGTTAAAGCAAAGCTTTCTTATAAAATTAATAGCTACCATTTATTAAGCATGCAGAAGTAATCTGTTTTACATGCACCCTCTTATTTCATCCCTACAATGTGCCCATATTAGCATCTACACTTTAAAGATGGGAAAATTCGGGGCACCTGGGTGGCTTAGTCAGTTAAGCGTCCGACTTCGGCTCAGGTCAAGATCTCACAGTTCGTGGGTTCGAGCCCCATGTTGGGCTCTGTGCTGACGGCTCAGAGCCTGGAGCCTGTTTCAGATTCTGTGTCTCTTTCTCCCTCTGCCCCTCCCCTGCTCACACTACCTCTCTCTTTCTCACTCTCTCTCAGAAATAAATAAAACATTAAAAAAAATTTAAAGATGGGAAAATTCAAAGTCATCACTTTGAGAGACATTTTCACACACCATTTTAAGGCAGCAGCAATAGTAAAACTGGGCACAGAATCTGGACTGAGTTGAAGTGTAGCGATGCCAGGAGTGTTTCATAGGTTTCCTTTTATTATTGACCATTTCAACAGCTTGGACCTAGTAATAGGTCTATAAATGTAGACAAGCAATATGGTGGTTTATCTGCTTCCGTGTTATAGGACTTCTGCTTGGAGCTAATTCTGTCATCCAGTAATTAACACGGGAGTAAAACAGTAGAAACTCAGAATGACAAGATGGGGCCTCACATTAAAAGCCCGCTTTAAAATTTAATCAGAAAATGTAGCAAAGCTGTAAAGATATCAAAGCCATGTATTTGAAGTCATCAGAGTTATAGTTTGAAGTTGTCTGTAAATGTGCATGTTCAAGGTGATAAGTTTGAGGCAAAAGTGACTGGCATACTCATTTACTCTGGCAGGTGGGTGGATGGAAAAATCTGAACACTCAAAGCAGGGGATTGTTCTAATCCACTTGATTAACAGGAGTGAGGCTGTTGGCAAATATCTAAATCTTATTTATTTTACTAAGTGGTGGATCTTGGTGCCATGATTCACTTTTAGTTTTTCTGGCTGCAGTAGGAAAGGCATGCTTTATTGAATGCCCCATATGACCTCTGACTCCAACATAATGTCAGAGAAGCGTTGAACAAGTAAACAGTATTTTTATTTTCCTTTAGCATTATACCTAGAAAGTAGGGGCACCATGCCCCACTCTAATAACATCCCCTTTGTTCAGATTATCTCGAGAATCCCTCTATTCCAGTGGCTTCGCAGAGCCCAGTGACATATTCTTTTCAATATTGTGACTGGTGTGAAAGCTCATTTCTTCAAGGCTGGATTAATTTTTAGAATACCTTGTAGTTAGAAAGTGCCAAAGGGGTTAGGGAAATTTAAATCATCACCAACAGATGCCAGACCAGGTCGATAAGGTCAACAATCAATCAACACAAAAACATTTCTCTTTTTTTGGTCTTAAAAAATATGTGTAATTCTAAAGTAAAGCAAATGGTTTTGGGTCTGGCTCATAAATCATGTTACCATGCAATTTCAAAGGAGTATCATACATGTTCAAAGATTCTAATTTCAATTAAAACCTCTGGCTTATTCAGCAGAATAAATGTTTGTGGAGCGATCATCACCTGACTATACACCAGACCCTGACAATACATGCATGACTTCCATTGCCCCATCATATCAGTCTGCAGGAAAACTAAGAGTCACAAAAGGTGCAATAGAATATTGATTTTCTGGCGTTGCTCTAACTACAATCCTTGGAAGTCCTTCTCCTCAGGCACTAGGGTGAGTTTAGGGGGCTGGGAGGCACAGAAAGGAAGACTCTTCCCATCTACCCCCAGGACCTTTCTGTGAAGTAACATAAGCCAATTTATGGTTATTCTTTCCCCCTCCTTTCAATCTTTATGTCCCAGCCTCTAAACAGGCTTTGTAGATAGCCTCTCCCTCCCTCCTCCAAGTGAACCTTGTGCTTTATGTAGCTCTCATGAGTGGCCCAGTTACATTTGTGTATCTATGGGTTATTCTTTTTTAAAAAATATTTTTGAGAGAGAGAGGTCAGGGGAGAGGCAGAGAGAGAGGGAGACACAGATTCCCAAGCAGGTTTCAGGCTCTGAGCTGTCAGCACAGAGCCAGAATTAAGGCTCGAACCCATGAACCATGAGATCATGACCTGAGCTGAATTCA